CCATACATAACCATATATACTATAACCTATATAACCATATATAACATACAACCATACATAACCATATATACTATATAACCTATATAACCATATATAACATACAACCATACATAACCATATATACTATAACCTATATAACCATATATAACATACAACCATACATAACCATATATACTATATAACCTATATAACCATATATAACATACAACCATACATAACCATATATACTATATAACCTATATAACCATATATAACATACAACCATACATAACCATATATACTATAACCTATATAACCATATATAACATACAACCATACATAACCATATATACTATATAACCTATATAACCATATATAACATACAACCATACATAACCATATATACTATAACCTATATAACCATATATAACATACAACCATACATAACCATATATACTATATAACCTATATAACCATATATAACATACATAGCCACAGCAGATCAAACAGATAAATGGGATTAAATAATTTTAATTTTAATCTAAGGTTAACGCAGCAGGACTTAAAGCTTTACGTAAACACAGAGGAATATGGAGCCTGCAGCGAGACAGGTCCCAACAGGAGAAGGATCCACAGAAGTCTTTAGGGTCAACGAGACGAATGAGAACAAACGTTAAGGAGAAAGATTAGAAACATTAAAAAGTAAATAGAATATAGAATACTAAATATTATTAACATTAAAAAGTGAATAAACTGTCATTTTGTAAAGTATCATCTTTTTAATGAGATGTAAGACCAGGACCAAACGCCTGGACTCTTTCAGAGTCACATGGTCTCGCTCTCTCTGTGATCCTGGTGTCACAGTCACATGGTTTCGCTCTCTCTGTGGCTCTCTACTGTGTGGTCCTGGTGTCACAGTCACATGGTTTCGCTCTCTCTGTGATCCTGGTGTCACAGTCACATGGTCTCGCTCTCTCTGTGATCCTGGTGTCACAGTCACATGGTTTCGCTCTCTCTGTGATCCTGGTGTCACAGTCACATGGTTTCGCTCTCTCTGTGATCCTGGTGTCACAGTCACATGGTTTCGCTCTCTCTTGTGATCCTGGTGTCACAGTCACATGGTTTCGCTCTCTGTGTGATCCTGGTGTCACAGTCACATGGTTTCGCTCTCTCTGTGATCCTAGTGTCACAGTCACATGGTTTCGCTCTCTCTGTGATCCTGGTGTCACAGTCACATGGTTTCGCTCTCTCTGTGATCCTGGTGCAGTCACATGGTTTCGCTCTCTCTGTGGTCCTGGTGTCACAGTCACATGGTTTCGCTCTCTCTGTGGTCCTGGTGTCACAGTCACATGGTTTCGCTCTCTCTGTGATCCTGGTGTCACAGTCACATGGTTTCGCTCTCTCTGTGGTCCTGGTGTCACAGTCACATGGTTTCGCTCTCTGTGTGATCCTGGTGTCACAGTCACATGGTTTCGCTCTCTCTGTGATCCTGGTGTCACAGTCACATGGTTTCGCTCTCTCTGTGATCCTGGTGTCACAGTCACATGGTTTCGCTCTCTCTGTGGTCCTGGTGTCACAGTCACATGGTTTCGCTCTCTGTGTGATCCTGGTGTCACAGTCACATGGTTTCGCTCTCTCTGTGATCCTGGTGTCACAGTCACATGGTTTCGCTCTCTCTGTGATCCTGGTGTCACAGTCACATGGTTTCGCTCTCTCTGTGGTCCTGGTGTCACAGTCACATGGTTTCGCTCTCTGTGTGATCCTGGTGTCACAGTCACATGGTTTCGCTCTCTCTGTGATCCTGGTGTCACAGTCACATGGTTTCGCTCTCTCTGTGATCCTGGTGTCACAGTCACATGGTTTCGCTCTCTCTGTGATCCTGGTGTCACAGTCACATGGTTTCGCTCTCTCTGTGATCCTGGTGGTTACATTTGTCTTTGGTCTTTGTAAATCCAGATATGAGCCGTTGACCAATTAGATTCCTTAACTCGTGGGGAAACTCCAGCGTGCCATAGCAACCGTGTTAGCAACAGGGGCACGGACAAATGCCCATATAAGGAAAGTATATCCAGCTCCATGATAAACTTGCTGAAGTCTAGAGTAAATCTTCCTGATCCTGGAGACGTTAGACTTAGTCTGAAAGTTGGATTTCACTTTAATTTGACACATTCCAAACGTCCTTTGGTGAAAGTCGACACGAGTCTAAACAAGTCCCAGAGCTTTCACATCATCAACACATCCTTTGGTCCCAGGATGAAAACCAGTTCGATCTGGTTCACAGCCTACGGCCACGTAGTAAGTCATCTTTAATTGTATAGCGCCTAAACTTGTTTTATCATTCCCAGCCACTGCTGCCATCGCACCCTCTGACCCCTGTCCTCTGACCCCTCACCTGTGCTTGTGGATGATGCTCTGACCCCTCACCTGTGCTTGTGGATGATGACCTCTGACCCCTCACCTGTGCTTGTGGATGATGCTCTGACCCCTCACCTGTGCTTGTGGATGATGACCTCTGACCCCTCACCTGTGCTTGTGGATGATGCTCTGACCCCTCACCTGTGCTTGTGGATGATGCTCTGACCCCTCACCTGTGCTTGTGGATGATGACCTCTGACCCCTCACCTGTGCTTGTGGATGATGACCTCTGACCCCTCACCTGTGCTTGTGGATGATGACCTCTGACCCCTCACCTGTGCTTGTGGATGATGGCCCCTGACCTCTGGCCCCTCACCTGTGCTTGTGGATGATAACCTCTGACCCCTCACCTGTGCTTGTGGATGATGGCCCCTGACCTCTGACCCCTCACCTGTGCTTGTGGATGATAACCTCTGACCCCTCACCTGTGCTTGTGGATGATGGCCCCTGACCTCTGACCCCTCACCTGTGCTTGTGGATGATAACCTCTGACCCCGCACCTGTGCTTGTGGATGATGACCTCTGACCCCTCACCTGTGCTTGTGGATGATGGCGTTGAAGAGCTTCCCGTCCCTCCAGCTCGAGGTGAAGTCTTTGCAGCCGAGTCCCTGATAATTCTCCACCATCCTCTGGGACCACAGCAGCAGCCGCTCTTTGGCCGTCATGTCATCGGACTGACCGTTCACCTGGATGTCCGAGATCTGGCAACCAAGGACAACGGTAAAAACACATGCAGATCTGGCAACCAAGGACAAGAGTAAAAACACATGTAGATCTGGCAACCGAGGACAAGAGTAAGAACACATGTAGATCTGGCAACCGAGGACAAGAATAAGAACACATGTAGATCTGGCAACCAAGGACAAGAGTAAGAACACATGCAGATCTGGCAACCGAGGATAAGAGTAAGAACACATGCAGATCTGGCAACCGAGGACAAGAGTAAAAACACATGCAGATCTGGCAACCGAGGACAAGAGTAAGAACACATGCAGATCTGGCAACCGAGGACAAGAGTAAGAACACATGCAGATCTGGCAATCGAGGACAAGAGTAAAAACACATGCAGATCTGGCAACCGAGGACAAGAGTAAGAACACATGCAGATCTGGCAACCGAGGACAAGAGTAAGAACACATGCAGATCTGGCAACCGAGGACAAGAGTAAAAACACATGCAGATCTGGCAACCGAGGACAAGAGTAAGAACACATGCAGATCTGGCAACCGAGGACAAGAGTAAGAACACATGCAGATCTGGCAACCGAGGACAAGAGTAAGAACACATGCAGATCTGGCAACCGAGGACAAGAGTAAGAACACATGTAGATCTGGCAACCAAGGACAAGAGTAAGACCACATGTAGATCTGGCAACCGAGGACAAGAGTAAGAACACATGCAGATAAAACACATACTTTAATAAACGATTATTAGATTGATTTGTTGTTTAGATCCGAAAGGTCGAAGAACCTTGGATCTTTGGGAACCTTTGAAGAACCTCATCATGGAGAGACTCGTTACGTTCAGTTTGATTTAAAATACTTTGTTAAAACATTTAGATTTCTGTCGTAATAGAGTTATTAACAAATGGACATTTATTGTATCATTAAATAAAAGGAAATATGGCATTAAACTGGTGTTTACTGGAGGCTCGTTCTTTCTCTCTCAGATGGCCTTTACAGAGCTTGGCATAGATTATCTTGGCCTAAATTAGTTTGGCATAGATTATCTTGGCCTAGGTTAGTTTGGCATAGATTATCTTGGCCTAGGTTAGTTTGGCATAGATTATAGGAAAGTATATTTTCCGAAAAACTGGTTACTTCCAGATTGAAGTGAGTCATGTTTTAACCCACAGCTCTTTCATGAAACATTTTGGAACCACACTAATGTTTATTTATCAGTTCATGAATGAACAGAAAATGACTCTGAAACAGTTTCACAAACTCTCAACACAGAGTTTCCAGAGTTTCCAGAAGCCGTTGTTCTGAGTCTCTGTGGAAACAGTCTTTGGTTCATGAGTCATAAACACGGGAAGGAAAAGGGCGGAAAGAAAGTCATTTGTTCCTATTCTGTGAAAGGAAACCGCAGAGCTCTGAGTCCTGCTCCTTTAGCTTCTGTAAACTGTAGTTAGACCAATACAGACTGATACAGACTGATACAGACTGACACAGACTTACACAGACTTACACAGACTGACTCAGACTTACACAGACTGACACAGACTGACACAGACTGATACAGACTGACTCAGACTTACACAGACTGATACAGACTGACACAGACTTACACAGACTTACACAGACTGACACAGACTGATACAGACTGACACAGACTTACACAGACTGACACAGACTGACTCAGACTTACACAGACTGACACAGACTGACAGAGACTGATACAGACTGACTCAGACTTACACAGACTGATACAGACTGACATAGACTGACAGAGACTGATACAGACTGACACAGACTTACACAGACTTACACAGACTGACACAGACTGATACAGACTGACACAGACTGATACAGACTGACACAGACTGACAGAGACTGATACAGACTGACACAGACTTACACAGACTTACACAGACTGACACAGACTGA